TAATAATTAGATCAACTTATATAGCACAGCTGCTGTATGAAATATGAATTGGCAAACACAGATGTTTTTCTTCATTGGTGTAAATGGCGGTCCAAGTTATTGATGATTTAAAACAAAAATGGTGTTTGGGTTGTGTAAATGGGCCTATTGTCTGACTATGGATAGCCTGACTATGGATAGCCTACACGCCACAGAGAATAAGAAAGCAGATTTTCTTTCTCTTTTTTTAAATTACCATTTTAATCCTATTGACCGGGAAAAATACAAGAATTAGATACGAAAGAGGATTAGTAGGCACGTGTTTTTTCATCATATGACCACTGACCGGGTTGTGTAAAGGGCATCCCCGCTAAAACTGAAACTGATATGGTGTATTTAAAAAAAGGTTTGTGTATTTTTAAAGTTTCAATCAATCAAACACAAATTGGCAACTCTGTAATGAATCCTAAGAGGTGCTCTCCCATTTGTCTCTGTTCATTAAAAAAAAAAATCATAACATAATTTTTCCTAAAGAATAAGTATCATTATTACTCTTATCGAATTTAATATCAATCACTTTCATACAGCATGATAGCGTAATTGAAAAAATTCTTTTACATTACAGGTGTATGATTTTGTTTGTAGAATTATAGAATATGGTTAGCTCATTAAAGGATAATATTACAATAATTACTAGGTAGCATCTACACTGGAATCAGGGCATTGAATTCTGCAAAGTTTAAGAATCGATCTATGATATGTAAAAAGTTAAAACAACAAAATTAGTCCAAATAAAAGCTTATTTGATGCTTTCATTTGGAATTTTCTGTGGTAAAGGAATTGATAGAATAAATACAGATAGACATACAACATCATAGTCGATTAAAAAAAAACTATTTTGAAATCAATACCTGAAATAGTTCTTATGTAATGTACTCATGACATTCTATAATTGCACAATATCTTGCAAATTTTTGATAATTGATGTCAAATCTCCCATATTAGATCATATTACAGGTGCAATTGCCAGCTGTGGTTAGCAGGAGTGTGACTGGATTATAAGCCACAGTTTGGTTATAGGCATGTGATATTTTGGCAAATATGTTATTTTATCACATACTGGTAATCACCAAATGGGTATTTCCCTTAATAAACATGCAATTATTGCAATATATGCTACCGTGAAATAGATTATGAAGGAGATTTGTCACATGTTCTGCAATAATTCATATTGATGTCTATGTATATTCTTTAATACATTCAGCAAATTATTTGGTTATTACCTTAAACCCCCTTGTAAACTTGAATACATCTCACAGCAGACTCATCAGATGTATTGTGAATTATGTTGTGCAAATAATAGAGATATTTGGAGGGAGATAGATATTTATTGTGTGATTTTGGGGGTATTACCGGTATTTGCTTTTGTGGGAGTTTTTCTTTCTTTCATTACTTGCTCGTGTGGGAGTATGAGGAGATAAAAGCTTCCAAATGTTAACCTGCTCTGATTTATATTCTTGTAAAAAGAATTAATCAAATTTAGTGAGATACATAGCATTGAATTGGTAGAATGAAGAAAATAATTGGATTCCTGAATTACATAGGATACGTACTATCTAACAGTACTGGAATATTTGCCGACAATTTTCAGAATATAGTTTGGTTTTTTTTGTGTTGTAATATCATGGTAATGTTGGTTTTCCAAGCAACCTTTTAGATAAAGTCATCTTAATAACCATGTGATCAGTAAATTATCTAAATTATTTGACATGTTGGGTAGAGTTTTCCTTAATGATGTCATTGTATAGGTTCATTACCGGTTGGTTTAATTATTTTTCATGTTTCAGTTTTGAAAATGAAAATCAGAATATAATTGACATTAGATAACAATGCTATTATAACACTTGATTTAATGATCTTTAGTTTCACTTTTCATATGGTTCACCCGTTTATAGCTATTAAAGGAATTGGTTTACACAACCAGGTAAATTATCAACACAAAATTGTTTTAATATGCATCACTGTTTGTCATTTTCTAAACATTTAATCTTATTTGAAGTAATATAAAAAAAAAAAAAAAACATGCTTGTGCAAGTATATATACTGTTTCCATGTATCTTTCAAATACGTTTTTCCCCATTTGTGATAATTATTGTGTCTATGTACATTGTAAAATATAATATTAATGTACCGTGTGAATGGAGTTTTTTAACAGATACCAACAAAAATGCCTTCCTTTTGATTAAAGACAAGAGTCAAACATTGCCTTTGCATAAAAAGGAGTACTATGAATATGATATGATATTAGATATGAATAGAAGAGGGTTCCATTTAATTTCATATTTTGTCTGTTTGAAGCCAGAAGGGTGTTAACTTTAACTTGAGTTACAGCCCTTCTGGCACCGACCAGACAATTCTAAACATTCCCTGCTCCTTCAAATCACTATTCAGAGCAAGTTTTCTTGATGAAATTAGATTTGTCTATGCACTCCAAAAGTTTAAAACAAGTTGAAATAGTAATTTGTTCCATGATTGTGTAGATTTCCTCATAATCTGCTCGTTTATTGTTGTCAAACATAGTTGTGCAACTCATGCTCCGGCAACAATTGTTCCCTTCCTATACTAACTAAATTCTTTACTTTAGACTCTTCAACTATCTATGCAATTTGTTTCGTTTTAAATTGTGTTTTCACCTGCCATTATACCGGTAATCACCTTTTAACTAAATTATATCTCCATGATAAGACAATATATTCAGACTATTAGCAAATGACAATAAAAGAACAAAGGAATATTAGATGCAGATGAAAATGAAAGAGAATGAAAAGAGAAAGAGGATGAATGAAGATGACCCGACGTCAAACAATTAAGGACAAGAAAAACAAGAAGTACAAACTGACCACCAAAATGTCATAGACTAATCAGGGACTTTCCCTTGTAATTGACTATCCTACAGGGAGGTTCACACGACAGATGGTTACCGTAAATTGAAGTTTAGGTCATTTTTTTTCTTTGCCTCATCAGAGGATTTATTAGGTAAGCATGGTTTACATTCAAAGATACAATAATACAAATGAAATCAAACTTACATACTCACAAAAGCATCATTATTGGCATAAAAAAGAATTGAAATGAGATTTTGTTTTGCAAGGCATTAGAATCATCATTAACATAAGAATTAGTTTAGGTCATGGTTTTAAACTTTAAAGATATTTTGTAGTTACGGACTTGCGGACACACTTGTGGTTATGTTACTTTAAGTTAACTTGAAGTTACAAACCCCGACGGATCCTAATAGTGGAGCGATAATTATGAGTAACAGGGGTCCTCGCTCAAAATTATGTGTCGTGCTAACGCAACGACCAGTTCAAAATTACACCACAGTTTGTAGTTAAAATGAATACTTTCCCTAGCTTGTGGTTTAAAACTGAGTTTGAATACTCCTTGTTTGATCCATGATGAACCCTCATCGTTGTTGATAAAGTCTACAAGTTTTGCAAACTACGACGGTTCCGTGTTAACCCTTGTCATCGTTGTTAGAGGATCGTTGTTGATAACTATGAGGTTTTCCGTGTGAACATTGCTGTTGACTACCAAGGAGCTAGTTCATTACCTAAAGTGTGGGTGTGACCGTGATGATAGATTAGCTACTTCCACAGAGGGTTTTTCTTGTGATGGAATGTGGGTTGTTCTCGTGTGAGTGAATCTGGGTCATGAGTTCAGGTTAATTACCAAACTGCTTTCTGTTTTAATGAGGGAATTCCAGCAAGTTTGTCTACTTTTAAGTAATGCTGTATATCCAAAAATCTATTGTGTTCTACATGTAACTTTTTGATTGGCAAATGAATAGTTGCATGATCATCAATGATTGCAACATCATACAGTGCATAGCATATATTCCTTCATTCAAAACAATGAATACCGGTATATAATGATCATGAAGAAAAAAGTATTATGATATCAACACTGAAGATATGATAATAAGTACCGGTAAAACAGTCGTTATACAATTTCCTTGTGTACGGATGATCGGTGTTTCTTGTACTTTTTGTATTTTATCATACTCCGGACAGAACTCAATATTTTCTTCCATAACTATACAGGTACATTGGTACTAATTCTTCTAGAGAAGTGACATTCTGTCATCAGTGTACTGCATTGAAGTTTTGTAAATAATACTAATTAACTCTTTCATAAAAATAATTCCACATTTTGTGGCTTGGCTCAATAACTTTGGATTCAGAGCCCTAAGCAATATGCAAGATAATTAATAAAAAGAACAACATTTTCTGCACACACTGCATCCATTTTTGTTAGATGCTAGGAATTTTAAAAACATTGATAAGCTCTAAAATCCTTAAATTGACAACACTTGAGATTCAAATTTGTGAGCATTACTCATTCTTATTATGCAAGTATGGAAGAACATCAGTCAAGACATGTTCCCTGAAAAGCATGGCTCTTCAAATGCCTTCATATTCTTAATATGCATGTAACATCGTAAAAATCAGGGGGGGGGGGGGCGGCTTTTTACGCCACGTGTTCGTGTAGTCCCATATACATCTTTCTGTGCAAGCGTTTGTAACTTTACCAAGACTTGGCCAAATTTCTTATCATTTTGATGATTCCAGAACCTTGCAATACACACAAATTCTTATATGCTAGATGATCAACCTTTTCTGGTCGGTTCCACACTGTTTCTTTCACAACGCAATCGCATGACCATAACTCGACTTCATCTTTAAATTGCATCCCTAGGTTTAGTCTTTAGGGGTATTTTTATCAGTTTTTAAAATATAAGCGTAATGATACTACTTCTAGTTCATATGTGATTTTACACTTTTTAGTTTGTGACTTTATGCACACTTGAAATATGGATTTCCCTTTAAATTGGCTCTTATAGATCAATAATATGGTAATGTCTTGGTCATGTATATGATGCAGATCCATACATGTCTACCATGTTATTGCAATTGATTATTGTTTATTTATCCTTATTTCCTTCTTTCCTTCCTCTTCAGGATGAGATCGAGATCTGTAACTCACTTCCTTTCAAGAGAGCGGTCATATGGTTGAATGCACTACAAGACCTCATTGAGGCACATCAGGTGAGTTTCTGGGTTAGGATTGACAGAAGAATTGAATGAATGAATGAATGAATGAATGAATGAATTGAGATCTGTAACTCACTTCCTTTCAAGAGAGCGGTCACATGGTTGAATGCACTACAAGACCTCATCGAGGCTCATCAGGTGAGTTTCTGGGTTAGGATTGACAGAAGGATTGAATGAATGAATGAATGAATGAATGAATGAATTGAGATCTGTAACTCACTTCCTTTCAAGAGAGCGGTCACATGGTTGAATGCACTACAAGACCACATTGAGGCACATCAGGTGAGTTTCTGGGTTAGGATTGACAGAAGAATTGAATGATTGGTGAATGAATGAATGAATGAATGAATGAATGAATGAATGAATTGAGATCTGTAACTCAGTTCCTTTCAAGAGAGCGGTCACATGGTTGAATGCACTACAAGACCTCATTGAGGCACATCAGGTGAGTTTCTGGGTTAGGATTGACAGAAGAATTGAATGAATGAATGAATGAATGAATGAATGAATGAATGAATGAATGAATGAATGAATGATTTTAAGAATTTGAATGTGTACGTCTCAAAATGGAGACAAAGTTTTAATGGATGGATGGATAGATTGATAAATAGACAGAAAATAATAGGAAGAAGGATGTATAAGGATTGATAGATAGATTGGCCCGAATTCACAAAGTAGGTTTGTCGACAAACCTAGGTTTATGTGCGTCATATAACTCGTTTTGACGCGTTTTCATATGACGCACATAAACCTAGGTTTGTCGACAAACCTCCTTTGTGAATTTGGGCCATTGTGTCTGTAACTTGCTCCCTTTCAAGAGAGCAGTTACCGGTATACTGCTGAATGTGAGTTGCATACAATCTGTGTTGTTAGGTTGGACGAGCCATACTGTTTGTCCTCCCTAGCAACGATTAATGTATGCCATTCGCATTCTGTCAAGTGAAGAAAAGTATTTGTAACAGATAAATGAAATATTTTGTAATATGAAACTTAAAGAAGATTTATGCATTAAGTTTGATTACATTACGAAAATTTTCTATTAGTTTGATACATTTCTAATTGTTGGCAATTTCATTTCTTGACTTCTCATTTTTCTTTTGTCACTTCTGACAGGTCCATGAGTCAGCTGACTGCAAGGCTGTAGTGAATTCATGGATTGCTGAGAAACATCAGCTCAGGTCAGTAACTTTTAAGCAGGACTGCACTACTTGTAGCTACTTGCGCCCTCTATATAGCAAACAATGCCTTTTTCTTATGTTAATTGAGAGCTAATTTGATGAGATAACCACCTATCAGTGACCTTGCAGGGAGGTCTAATCCCTCCTGGCCAAACTAGTGCAGATACATGTAGGATTTAAAACCCTTGCTGGGAAATGATGAGTGCTTTAAGTTTTAAACTACGAGCTGGTCAAACAGACAGTAACAGCAAATTGGTGAAAACTCAAAGTTAAAGGGCATCTGCATTTCACATAACTTTGAGTGGAGACTGCCCCCTCCCCCCCCCCCCCCCCCCCCCCTACATCATAGATTTCATGTTAAAGGTAATACACAGTTTTGGTAGGTGGTCATGAATTTGGTTCAAATGAACATATTAGAAGGATATGCAATTTTACAATATTCTATGATCGTTGTAGCGGTTGAAATCAAGTCTAAAGTGATGGCATTGTAAATAATAAACTCTTTTTGTTGTATAGTTCCCTCTCAAGACTGATATTACTATAGCTTTAAAACGATGTATCTTGGCTATACCGGTAATCAACCGATTTGCTCTCATAATTTTAAAGAATTCATCCAATTTTCAAAATATCCCCAAACTTTGCATTACCTTTAAAACCATGAGCTAAACTGCAATTTTGGCGTTCAAGTTTTAGTGCAAAAGGTAAAAGGATAGCATGAATCATTGAAAGTAAGTGTAAAGGTAAGCCTTCAGGTTGTCAGGACAGGAAGTAAGTTAGTAGCACTGCGACCTTTTGTCAGTTATTTTAAGGTTAATTACTCTATATTAGTCAAGGTCATGAACTTGTAGGTTTTTTTTCATGTCATATCTTTGTGCTCTCTTGACCCTGTTGTTTGAAAGGTTGTAGACAGTAATGACAAGAGCGAGTGTGAAAATGGTCCACTTTTGGGTAGTGACAATCCCAAATAGTTTACTTAAAATCCTCTTGTGGTCGTAGTGGATACGTCACCGGACAGTGGATCACAAGGTTCGCGGTTCAGGTCCCGCCGGGGCACTAATGTCCTTTGGCAAGACATTGATCTACATTTGCCACACTCGACCCAGGTGATGGAATCGTAATTGATACAGATGTTGACTTTGCTCACATTGAACATGAATTATATTCATGTTATTATATATATGATAAATGTTATAGAGTACCAAAAGGATATGCACAAAGAAAACAAAAAATTTTGACCTTGTCTTGGGATCACTGTGCCACTCTCATGAAAGAAAGTTTTCATTTTGGTGTACCATCACCCCCCCCCCCCCCTCTCCCATTTAAATGAAATGAAATAGATTCAAATCAACTTTTTTCCTTCTAATTCATTGTCAAATCTTACTCTTGCTCTTTTTTCAGGATGACAACCAAGTCTCTTTTCAACCAGCAGTTTGGCAGCGTCTTCCGAACGCACCACAACTACTCCTACTTCACCTCGCGTCTCTGCCGCTTCGCCGACATCTACATGGCTTGCGTCGGTAACCTGCGCAACTACTCCTTAACGCACACCTTCTACCCGCGCCGTACGGCCCTGCCGCACGAACTTTCGTACAATTTCACAGTGCAATGACCCAAATCTGGATGAACCTGTAAAGATCAAGAACTTGGTTGCAAATATAGCTGGAATGTTGCCAATGGTTTGAGTACAATGTGATGTCATTATCCAAAGCCCTTCCTCCTCCAAATATGAGGCAGTAAGCGGAAAGATAAGTTGCTTTTCTAAGCAGTTTACAATGTACTTCGAAAATGGGGCTCAATGTGCCGATATTACACCAGCAAGTTGCATAATCTGATCCTAATTTTTATCAGCAAATAAGAATTTTAAATCGCTGTCTGGGCAATATATTTGAAAACATTTGTGACCATGTTGACAGAGCTTTGATAATAATGTTTCTATGGGTGCTATGTCTTTCTTGTATAGTGTACTAAATTTGATGAAAGTATTACATAACTAGTGACCCTGTGCTATGTATTCATGTACGTTGTGTATCCGTAAACATGGTCATCCAGTGATTATCAGCTAATTGTATACATTTTAAGTGAGTTTTGACATTATTGCGAGTCAATAATTTTACCTTGATCCTGAGGGATATAAAGTACAGTCAAACCTGCTTTAGTGACCATCTGTCTACAAAGACCACATTTGTAGTTTCCCTTGAAAATGGTTTCTCATTGAAACATGTACTAAAGGGATCTGTTTACAAAGACCACCTGTCTACAAAGACCACTTTTTGTGTTTCCCTTGGGTGGTCGCTATAGACAGGTTTGACTGTATCTTTATATTCAAGGGGCGGTTACTATGTACTGCTCTGACATTAATTATACATTTACATATATACATGCATTTTAACTGCTATGATATGTCTTGACTATCAAAAGAATAAGAAAAGATAATTTGTCCTTGTTAATCTATGAAAGAGAGTCCATCTACGTTAGGGACCATCTGTATAGAAAGACCACCTGCCTACAAAGACCAACGTATTTTGTTTCCCTTGAAACAGTGTTTCTAATGGAAACATCTGTTACAGTAAACCTAAGTATAAAGACAACCTGTTTATAGAGACCACATTTTTTGTCGCCCTTGATTGTTTTCCTCATATCTTTTTGGTTTTCTATGAAGAAAAACTTTTCTTGAAAACATACATAACATTTATATAAAGACCACCTGTCTATTTAGACCACATTTTTGTTATCTCTTGAAACAGCGTTTTCTCTTAAAAACATGTATAACAGTAAACCTGTGAAGAAAAAAAAGACCACCTCCCTATAAAGACCACTATTTCTGTCTCCTTTTGGCAGTCTTTCAATACAGGTTGACTATATTCAATCTGTATATCAGAAGTAATATTGCAGTAGAATTTTTAGATGAAGGGCAATGTATATGTCTCTCTCTGAGACCCGTACTGATAGCTTAGGTTATTTCTGTAGATTTTCTTGGTCCTTTGTCTTCCATTTGTATATGTGTATCATATGTTGGCAGTTATTGGCCAACAAGTATCCTTAAGGCCCTTGTTTTTAGTGCCAAATGTTTGCCAAATGTTTGCCAAAACTACGGTATTCGAATATGACCTTTTTTTAATGGAATTGGATAGGTGTATTATTGTTCCAAGTCTAGCATTTTTCTAATGGAGTATTAATTTCTTCCATTTTTTTGTGTGGAGGTGGGGAGGTAATTTTTAACATTTGTTATATGTAAATCAAACAAATTGAATGAAAATACAGACCACATTGTTCCATAGCATATAAAACTTCTTCCTTCAAAAATACTTTTGTGTAGTTTAATTGAAAATACATTTTAAAAACATTTTGCATATAAAGAATATGTATTATCAAGGCAGACCTTGCATTTGTCATGTACTTTGAAACTAGAAACTTTCATGACATAGAAGACATTCAGAAGTTGGAAATCAGTTATGGAATTTTCAACAGCTTTATGCATTTAGTTAGGAACCATTGGACATCGAAATTATCTTCCAATCTAAGAATGTGTGTTGATATAATCACTTTATTTTACAAAAGAGATATATGAGAGACTTTTTTCATCAAATTGTGTTATATCCTTCCTTCCAAAGAGAACTTTCGTTCGATAGAAGGGGAATGAGCTTGAAGACAGAAAAGAAGAAATAGTGCTAATCATTTCAGAGGTAGTTTGCAGGAACACCATCCAAATGCGCTGTATTTCATATTATGGGTATGATTGATTATTATTGATATGTTATTACTAATGCTTTTTCATTTCTTTCATGTTTTTATGATTTTTATATTTTTTGTATTACCCCCCCCCCCCCCTCTCACTCTCTCTCTCTCTCTTCTCCCCCTCCTGCCTCCTCCCCTTCTCTCTCTCTCTTCTCCCTCCCCTTCTCTCTCTCTTCTCCCTCCCCTTCTCTCTCTCTTCTCCCCTCCCCCTCTCTATTTCCCCCTCTCTTTCCCCCTCCCTCCCCCTTCTCTCTCCCCCTCTTTCTTGTTATCCCTCTCTGTTATTCTCTGGTATCCCCCCACTTCTGTATCATTTCCTTGTATCTCAACTCTCTCTCCTCTCTCATTTTCTTTCTTACTCTTTGTTTTGCCCTTCTGTCTTTCTCCATCATTCTCTTCTCTCTCTCCTTCTCTTCTTCTTGTACAATTTCTGTTCATGGTTTGTAGATGAATTCAGGGAGACTTGAATTAGTACTAAACAATATTGACGCACAAAATATTCACTTTTGGGCCAGATAAATGGGACCATCATAATTATCTTGAAGAGTATATTTATGAATTGGTATTCAATATTTGTGTTCATATGTATATAATGCTTGGCAGTACATTATCAAATGCTAGTATCTGAGTGTTTTTTGCATGTTATTCATTGTTTAAATATGTGTGTTGACATTTGTTACTACAAACCTAGGTTAAAATTTGTAAATTATAAAATTGGAATTAATATTTAATAGATGTGGGATCATCATTTTCGTACACCCCTTTACTATGGAAATAATAATTCCCTTATTTACTCCTCAAAAGAAATCTTTTGTGAAATAATTATTGTTTGTTCTTCTTTGATTATCTGAAGCATGTTTTTGTTCTTTCTTGTTGGACATAATTATGTGTCTTTTTTTTAATCACTTATATGAAAGTTTGTCCAATTTGGCTTATATGATATCTCATGCTGCCAACTGTCTCTAGATATAAATGATAACATTATTGTTCTTAACTGAATAGTACTAGTTCATTCGTCCAGGGTGTCATAGAGGTTGTTTGATCCTTTCCTCGGACATTTTGTATAGAACGTGTATTAATTGATTATTATCAATTCGATTTTGTTAACTCACATTTACGATTTATTGGTTATCATACTTCATAAAATGTTGACAGTTTGAAACCATGTTGAATTTGTGCAATTATCATTATTGCTTCTTTTATGCATGTTGAAAATTTACTTTGTAAATAAAAAGAATGCAATAATCTTAACATAATCAGTGTTTTGGTTTCTCTTATTTTATATTTTGTTGCATCAGTAAGGGCTAGTTTCCAATTGTTATAGATCATTTTGATATGAAAATGAATAACAACAATAATAATAGAGTAATCTTGTAATAGCGCTCATGTCTGGCACATTGCCACTCCTAGCTGTTTGGACAATGCCGAATGAATTCCTCCCAGGTACCAGTTTTTTTACCTCCACTGAGTGAGGACAGTATAGTGCTGCCGTAGAGATTCGAACCCTGTACCTTGTGGTTCACAGACCTGGGACTTATCCACTGGACCACAGCACCTCCACCATTCCCCATACATGCCAACTGTTCAGATTAAAGAGCAACATTCCTCTTTTGGGGAGAAAATAATTATCATTTTAATGCAGGTGTTCCTCTTCCTGTACAAATTTGTCTGTAGTATTGAATAGGAGAGTTAGGATTGTTCCTCTTTTTTTTTTAAATAGCATAATTTGTACAGATTTCTGATTTTCAAATGTTGGCATGTATGCATTCCCTATATATGAATTATTTGACGCCACATTCCACTGCTGGTTTATACACTATTTACTTTTGTGAATGCTTTGAGGTTTAGTTGAAATATGAAATCGGAGCTACAAAGTTGACACCTTCAAAGACAAAAAATTGTTTGCTTGAATGATTTTTTTTTCTGTAATCATGATTGTAATCACTCATCATGAGTGAAAGGAGTGTCGACATTATTGTCTGCATCTCCACTTGTTTTTGGTTTGCAACCCCGCCGCCCCTGCTCCCCCTATACCCCTAATGATTGTCCATGAAAAAGTTGGAAAATTTTACTCCTTTTTCTGTTATTTTTTTCGGTATGTTTCCTCTCTTCTGATAACCCTTCTTAACAATTCTTCGAATTAATATACAAACCTTTTATCGGCAAATTTGAAAAGTTGAGGAACTTTTAGTTGTTGCTCTTTGGAATTTATTTAAGACAAGTTGGCCCCCGCTTGAATTTGATAAGTGAAATTATATCTAGCTTTTGCTTTTACCTCCGACACGCTTAAACGGGAGTTAAACCGGTTTAAACTGGGTTATACTGGTTTCTATTTTGTATAAACATTAGCTTACGGAAGACATTAAGCCTGTCAAGTGCAAATTTCCGCTCTCAAATCAGTGAAAACTTTTTGAACAATGGATGTCATGGGCAATGCGAAGGCGTGGTGAAGGATGGGCCAGAGGAAAGTTCACCAAAATTATGACAACATTGAGATAGAACCCGTCAAAACAAACGATTAAAAAAAGAGATTATTTTGATGATGTTGACAATGTTTGATGCAATTGGGTCGCTCTGATAATAATATTGTTAAAGGTCTTGAATGGCCCTTCACTGACGAACATGACTTTTAACACACTTCAGAAAGTTTATAGAACCCCTCTTCATGTTAAAACTACTACTATAGTAATTCAATTATTAAAGCCCCACTGCACTATTCATAGCTACTTGCGCCCTCTATATAGCAAACAATGCCTAATCGGTGATCGTTGGTCCCCCATGATCCTCTTTTTCTTATGTTAATTGAAAGCTGATTTGATTAGATAACCACCTGTCAGTGACCATGCATGGAGGTCAAATCCCTCCTTGCCAAACTAGTGCAGATTGGCTTTAAATCCACCTAAAAATGGATTGCAAGTTACCCCCCCCCCCCGTCCCTCCCTCTATTATTCCCCCTCCCTCTCTCTCTTTCTCTCTCTCCCACACTTTCTTCCCTCCTTCTCCCTCTTCATCCAGCTTCTCTTTGGATACTAGTCTTCCTCTATATCATTGTCTGTCTCTCCATCTCCATCTCCTCTGCCAGAGGGGGCAGGGTTAGTCTACAGCCCCAAAACTTTGGCAGTCGTTGTGATTTACAGCGTCTGCAATACGAGACTAGGATAGGCTCTGTGCTTCATGAACAGAAAAGTACCAAAA